ACCAAAAGAAATGCGGATGTTCTACGTGTGCCCTAAAGCTCGATCCACCTGAGTGTTGGCGAAATGTGGGTGGGTGAGATTTACTCTTTTATGTGAAGCTGCCGTTTGCACTAGTTGCAAAATACCCAAGACAAAATGAACCGTAATCGCTTTCAGCTCATACGTCCTTTTGACACGTCAAAGAAATTGACCAGGGGTTCAAATTCCCTACAGGCCTTTTGAACTGGAAGCAGAGAGTGCGGAGATGATATCTGAGATTGGGGCAGCACTACACGTATGCTGGTGGACTCGCACCAAACCGCAATCAGATCCCTCATGTATGAATTTGAAGTTGACGAGCTGCTAACAACTTGTCGTGGAGTGTGAGGCATGAATCCAGTAATACCTAGTGAACATCCAGTGGCCCTAGCTTGGCGAAAGCTGCTGCTGTCACACTCGCTTCCGTAGCAGTCATCCTAGGAATACTGTAAACTGGCTTCCATGAACTTACCTGAGCTACAAATCAAGTGGACTGGTCACTACAGCAAGATTCATCTATCGAAGCAATATAGGCAATCCTAAAGGAGTATGGAAAACGATTGTGCGCAAGATCCGTAACCCTCAATTATCAGATGGTTGCACTAATGAAACTAAAATGGTTCGACAAGTATATTTTATTTCATTAGACATTGACGTGTACTAAGGAATAAATTCAGTCCGATGGGTTCTGCCGCCGATTACGTGGTGTCATAATCATGGCTGATTTCACGCAACAGCACCAGTGTTCAAAAATCCCAGCCACAACGAAGACGACCCACAAGAGGATCATTCATTAAGTGACGCTGCACTTGAGGAGTACAGATGACGGAGCAATGTTAAAGGGTTCAGCCGGACAGTCCCTGACTTCCAGGAGGGACCATGCGTCGGCACTTGTGGTGCATTTCAATTCCTTTTTCGTAAATATTTAAGAGGCGGTACAGAGTTTGATTTGTGTAGGCCCTGCCCCTTTTGACAGAAGAATTTCGGCATAGTAGATGCTCGCAAGATATTCATTGGTAATTGGCGGTGCTTCACATGCTATACCTAACGATTCGCATTTACTTGTCTGCTTCAAATCTGTGCGAATCATGTTCCACATTGAGATTGCGGGTCGCATTGTGGGTTTGGTAGCATCCACCATTCAAATATGCTTCACTACTTGTCGGTTTGACGCATGTCCTCGCAAACCATTGCTGGTCTTGAGTGACCGGACTTGGCATGGTTATAGAAACAATCGCAGTTCAGAAAATTGGACGGTGTACGCAACTCAGGCGGACGACTCTGTGCACTTGGTGCGTGAGGACAAGTGCACAAAGTAGCAGTTTGATCCGGCGTAACATTCACTGCGGAAACGGTACTGAAAATGCCATTACCCTTGCCTACACACATATCACTTGGAGTGGACAATAGCCACCCCAAAAGCACTAAAGGTAACAATCACGCACCTAGCCGGATTATTTCAGCCATCTCTGGACTGCAACATAGCTCGGTCAAAGTGGAAACTAGGTTTCATCAAACCTATTCACAAGGGAGCAAGTCGGTACCAGCCTGCCAATAACCGCCCGGTCATCTTCTCCCGGTGTTCGCCAAAGTTATGGAAGAAATTCTGGCCGACGCATTGACGGGCTATGTGGAATGCCATGGTATGTTTATCTACGATCTAGCCAGTGTTATCACCGCAACCCTGTCGGCCAACGAGACCTTTCGGCGCTGAGGCCCATCTATAGGTACAAGGATTTCTTCCGTATACGCTGCTCACGTTAACGTCTTGTTCTCTTCAGGCAACTCCCACGATATTCCCTCCACACCGACGCAATATCGGCACCATTAGCCATAGCAGCGATTTAGTCCTGAAGTCAATGCTTATGCGACAGATGTATTGAAATGCAGTACGTAAAACAAGTAAAACAATCAACGCAGTAGACGCTCGAAATGCCCACCGCCGTTTTGCTGGCACAGCAGCATTCGCCGGATGCTGTTGGATATAAACCTCTGCAATGTGTCAACCGATATCGCGCGACAGTATTCGTTAATGGTTAATCTCATTGTCTCCAACGATCACTTCTTCCTTCCGAAATGAAGACGAACTGATAAGCCATCAACTTACTTTTGTTGGCAAATTAACCTGGTTTTTCCAGTTCAGCATTCTGCAATGTTCTCATCTTAGTCTAAAACCTGGCCAGCAATGGTTTGCGAGGACATGCGTCAAACCGACAAGTAGTGAAGCATATTTGAATGGTGGATGCTACCAAACCCACAATGCGACCCGCAATCTCAATGTGGAACATGATTCGCACAGATTTGAAGCAGACAAGTAAATGCGAATCGTTAGGTATAGCATGTGAAGCACCGCCAATTACCAATGAATATCTTGCGAGCACCTACTATGCCGAAATTCTTCTGTCAAAAGGGGCAGGGCCTACACAAATCAAACTCTGTACCGCCTCTTAAATATTTACGAAAAAGGAATTGAAATGCACCACAAGTGCCGACGCATGGTCCCTCCTGGAAGTCAGGGACTGTCCGGCTGAACCCGTTAACATTGCTCCGTCATCTGTACTCCTCAAGTGCAGCGTCACTTAATGAATGATCCTCTTGTGGGTCGTCTTCGTTGTGGCTGGGATTTTTGAACACTGGTGCTGTTGCGTGAAATCAGCCATGATTATGACACCACGTAATCGGCGGCAGAACCCATCGGACTAAATTTATTCCTTAGTACACGTCAATGTCTAATGAAATAAAATATACTTGTCGAACCATTTTAGTTTCATTAGTGCAACCATCTGATAATTGAGGGTTACGGATCTTGCGCACAATCGTTTTCCATACTCCTTTAGGATTGCCTATATTGCTTCGATAGATGAATCTTGCTGTAGTGACCAGTCCACTTGATTTGTAGCTCAGGTAAGTTCATGGAAGCCAGTTTACAGTATTCCTAGGATGACTGCTACGGAAGCGAGTGTGACAGCAGCAGCTTTCGCCAAGCTAGGGCCACTGGATGTTCACTAGGTATTACTGGATTCATGCCACACACTCCACGACAAGTTGTTAGCAGCTCGTCAACTTCAAATTCATACATGAGGGATCTGATTGCGGTTTGGTGCGAGTCCACCAGCATACGTGTAGTGCTGCCCCAATCTCAGATATCATCTCCGCACTCTCTGCTTCCAGTTCAAAAGGCCTGTAGGGAATTTGAACCCCTGGTCAATTTCTTTGACGTGTCAAAAGGACGTATGAGCTGAAAGCGATTACGGTTCATTTTGTCTTGGGTATTTTGCAACTAGTGCAAACGGCAGCTTCACATAAAAGAGTAAATCTCACCCACCCACATTTCGCCAACACTCAGGTGGATCGAGCTTTAGGGCACACGTAGAACATCCGCATTTCTTTTGGTAGCAGCAGTCTAACGAAATAGGAAAACAAATCTATACCAGCACGTCACCATGATCTGTTGTTGTTCGGTCGTTGTGGGAGTACGATTAGCCGCTCAGCTGTACATCCCGTGGAATTATATCGGAAGTTAAAAGAGTCCCAGAGAGTCCCACCGGCCACCGGAAATTAACTAATGGGCAATACTTTTACGCTTGTTAAGTCATTCACAACTACTGAATGTGTCATGACCGTGGAACAAACGGTTGAACGTGAATCCTCAGTGATCTATTTACACAGTTTCCATGGATACTTAAAATACCAAAAATTCTAGTACGATGGCATATTAAGGTTTTCCAAATTGGCCGGATACGTATCTGGGCGATAAGGAATATTTAAACATTCAAGTCTGCCAAGGCGGGGAACTCAAGTCAAGTCAATAAAATGCTTAATACACCAACAACGCTTGAATATTCAGCCGTAAACAGACTGGCTTCATCAAATAAATGCATCGTACGCGCTGGATTCTTCCATCACCTTTCTTTCTAAAATGGGTGATTAGATTTGACCTAAACGCTTCTTTATCTACTTTAGGATTCTTTTACCATACCAATACTGTAAAATTCCTTCTCGTGCTCATTGCGAAACTGATTTTGATTTAATTGTCCAAGCTGATGGAATAAAATGAGATTTGATAAAATCTGTTCAAAAGGCACTGCACTCAGCTTTCTTTTTATTTCTGTATTCTGCTGGAATTAACTCCTTAGGCGGCCGCGCACTTGCAAATAGATCCGATGAGCCTCCAGTAGCTGGTAGACATTGTTCCGGCCTCATTTATGCAGAAGTAGCATCTCATATTTTCACCGCCTAATTGTTACGAATTCTTATTTTGCTAAGGTGGTTTATGTGAAGGTAACATTCAGTCTACAACAGCGTTGTCACTAACCCTTTTATCATTTGCTGGGATAACAGTAAGCAACTATCGAAGCGCCATCAACATTTGAACACGGTAGCCAGTGCATTATGCACTGCTGTCGAGATGTTGCAAACCACCAGCCAAAAACGTCCGCATCGACCCAATCTGATCTGGCCGGTGTCAAATTCGACAAGGGTCATTAACATATTTCAAGGACACATGCACCGCAATGCGTCCGCACGTCGTATTCACACCCCCAGACATGCGTGGATGAGTAAATACAGTAGACTTACATGCCATTGGTGGGTCGGCAAATTAGTGCGTTCCAATCTACCCCTGACCAGCGCGGCGACTGAGCAAAAACGAAAGACTCTTCTCAAATGCACTGTACTCCTTGTTAAACAATAGAATGTACCTGAGATCGAGCGAAATATTAATCGCATGCACATAAATACTTGCAATGTGCCCCGGATACTTCCCATTGTACAATTCTTGTCATCAAGTATTTGCATCCATTAGCGATTTTTACGCTTGTTTCACTAATATCAATTTGCCCAAATAATGAAACTGTGGTTTAAAATCTTGACCATATATATCATAGATGGACTAGTGCGACGTAGTTTTGCAAATTCATTTAAGGTCGATTCAATCAATTCCGTGCAATAGCAATGACATATGTATTTGGGTTGCCTCACAGATTGTTATTTCGTTGGGCTCTTTGACCTGGTACACACTCCATCCAGCGTGCAACGTTTGGGAAGATCAACGTCAAAGAAGACGTAAGTGATTCGTATGAAAAGAATATCGTTTCACAGTTCTAACCTATCCATGCTGCACTTTTGTGCATAACCGCTAGACTGCATAAAGCACGGTTATTAATGAAACTTTACTTCTTCATCTCAGCAGTTCACATACCAGATAGTATAAGCACCCATCCGAAAAAGCAGCAGACATAAGTTCCGTTCTGTTGAGTCTTGTCAGTTGTCTGTATTCTCTAGGTTTTCTTCAATGAACCAAACCCATGGCCGCTAGCAGCTTATGTCAGCTAGCCAGCAGCTTATTCCACGAAGTCATGGGGGGACGATAGCAGACCATCATAACTTGCAAGCGCAACTTACTTCCCACTGTGGCACAGGTTAATACCATCACATAGAACCGTGGCTGGCTTCCAGAGGTCGTGGCTCTTACAATTATGTATAATGGACACTCGCAATGATTTGTCAACAATCAAGTATAACAATTTTTCAGTTCGTTTTTCTACCCACCAGCCAGTTTGTGTTGATTTACATTGGTTCCATGAAGATTAAAAAGCCTGTAAATTTGGCTAAGCCGTAGTCGCCTATTGCACAGATGGCGTTAACACGGCTCCTGCAAAGCGCCAGTTGTGTGTCAAAGACTTTATGCACTGTTCACTGTCAACTCTGTGAATCATCTGCTTTACCGGTGGAGATCGATGGTCTATTGCCGTTGGATCTTACTGGCTTCTCCACGTCTGATTTCGGATTTTAACTCCCGCTCTCATCAACCGAATGATCCAAGAATGCCAAGAAAACCATGGATTCAGTGGCTCATGAGAGTAACATCCCTCATTTGCTAGCTCTTTTAATTCCATTGAAATTATAACTATCGGATCCAGTTCAACGTTAATTACATGTCCGAAAAAAATGGAATTCTCTTCCATGCTTTCAGGATGCGTGTTTATCGCTCATTTCTTCTGAATATTGTTGAGATGGAATCCCCGATCCTAATCTTTGGAGTCAGTAACTAACGTCACTGGTCTATAATGTCGGGTGTAACAACGTTAAGAGATTAGATACAGCGCTGCTGAAAACATTACCTCAGTCCAGAAGAGATTTAGCCCTCAAGAATGTACTTCGCTGTCCTCCAGGTATTTTGTATAATATGGATACATAAAGCAAATACGGTGACTGTCGGACTGTTTAGTCGGGATACACGTAATATTGACTATCCAAATCTAATACTACCACTTTTTCCCTTCTGTGCAAAATTCACAATCCTCTGCCCTTTCTACATTTTATTACCGGGATTTGTTCGTACTTTCCGTTTCCGCCGTTCAGCATCCTGCAACGTGAAACAGAAAATTCGCTTTCTATGTCTGTCATTCTTACACTCTCCGGATGTCGGTCAGTTATTCTGTCTCAGCATCACACGACACTAATGGATCTGCAGTTACGTTTCGAACACTTTTTGGAAGGTATGCTTAATCTACTATCCGACACAATATCATTCTAATAGTTACTGAGACGTTAGATGCACCAGCGTTCTATGTACCAGTTTTCCTTCATTAAAGTCACATGTGCTTCACGCGGATGGCGCTAGTTTTCCTACCCAACCCCATCGCATATCACACATTTTATATTTCTCATATCCAATGCAGATATCGATATTTATAGGCCAGCAAAACAGAGCCATGATTTTGTGTAGGCTTGCAATGTGTTGTTCAGTTCTTTTGGTCAGAACAGTGATTGAACTCGTGTTTCCTTCGCAGCGATTATCTTGTAAATCGCGATAATTGCCTGGATTCCGATAGTGCACACACTGACCAATAAAAGGGAATAATCTGTCTTATCAATTTGACCCTATTTCATTTGCAAACGTTCCTTTTCACCTTGGCTCTATTTTTACCAGTGTCAAGACCCATATTGAAAGTTTTCGAAAAATGCTGCGCCTGATCGCGCAACAAGGATATAAACGTGTATGCAAGACGGTTTCCTCCAGACTAGTTAAGTATTTTTGCTGTAAAATAAAAAGTACTCCGATGCTGTTGCAGCAAATGGTGTAATCATCTTTCAGAGTTTGCAGCCCTAGTGTAAAGTGTCGTTCTTATAGGGAGTGCCATACTGCTAAGAATCTTCGGTCCTCTTTCTGGTGATTTTGTATATCCGTACTGGGTACTGACAATAGGACATGTATCGTGAGTTAAGCTATCTGTACGCTGATGTCGTGTCAGGTATAATGTTGCAGATGTTTCGGGACTATCTCGTAGTCTACTCAGTAGCACCAGTACTATGAGCGCTCAGGAACTACTTCGTGTCAGATGGGATTTTCTGTGTCGAAATCCATGAAAACAGTAAATGCTTCAAACGAAATCACAAAGATAACGAACTATTTTTCATTCACTTGGCTGCATATCTCAATTGTTTATATCCTTCAAAAATGATTCACAACATTCCTGGAATTTTCGGTGACACTTTTGCCCTTCGCAATCAAGCATGCGGTCTGTGTATACAAAGCGACTGAAGGGCGAGTATTGTGCTGGTATTAATGTGCAAAGTATAAGGGTAGAATCTGTGTTAAACCCTGATAAATATACCCCTGTTGTTTTCTAATCATAGCTGACACAGCAGTTAGATTACTTGAATGCGTTAAGGTGCTCGTTCCCAACATGTTGCTTGTGTGAGACCTGTGGAGTTTCAGAGAAAACAATTGATGTAAGTGTTATGCAACTTCTTCGCTTGTAATCGCCGAGGGACCAGTGAAATAAAGGAAGCTGTCACAAAATGCAGGGATCAGAACTTAGCAGGGCCACCCGCTTCCTGCTTTGCTAACAGAGGATAGAGTAACATGGATTGCCAAAAGATAGAAAAGTCCCTACAGCAGGAAATACGCACAAACGTTTCAATGTGTTGCGTTGTACACTGACCAGTTGGATCACATCACCTTAAGACAGACAATTTGATAAGCTGATTTTTATGCATGCGCTCACACAGCTCACCCGGAAGTGCAGGTAGGTGCTTGGAGGCGCTTGCCGTTGCAGCTAAGAAATTAGCTGAACATTTGACGCGATGCTCCCAGCACTGTTTTGACGAGACTCACTTTCCTATAGTATGAAAACATTAGATAGTAATTCCAGTTTATTAAGTAGGTTGTCATTCTGATCTAGTTAACTACCTTCCAGTAAATACTCAATGCAATTGTCAAATGTTTCAACAAGGCACATCCCAATGCCAGATTCATTTATTAGTCATCATAAGCCAGGCAGCTTGAAAAGTACTGTTTTCAGATGCTACAAACCATTCATGCTTTCCCAAAATTGCCCGATAAATGCTACTCATTTTGTGCGATTATAACTTCTGAATCAAACTGATTATGACTTACTTCGTGCGGATTTTCGCATATACGAAATATTTGTCAGATTCGAGATAACTTATGCCTATCCTCGGAAAAAATAACCACAAATTTGGGTGGCCATAATCCACTTAGAAGATTAGCCACTCGGTAGAATCATTTCGTCAAATGCGCCCACTAGTTAACTCTTTTCTATTCCTCTTTTCTCCATATAGCAGCGTTAGGTGCACGGCTTTCGGTTGGTCAGTCGGCATTCCATGCTCAGCTGAAGCGGCTACGGTCCGAATTAAGCTCAGCATTGGCGATGTCTTCGACGATCGGATCGCAACTACCAGAAGCGTCCACAGCACCAGTGTATCCAGAAGGCACTTTAAACAGAACAGAAGAATCTGCTTTAGCACTAAACGACATTGAACACATACTGATGAAATGTTTCTGCATGGCTATTTATGGTTTACCGAACATTGTGTTTTCTTAAGCGAGAAATCATGCTACAAAATTTGAATAAAACGATTGGTAATTTAGACCGCATTTCGTCCAGTTCCTTTTCAGTAAAGACCGTTAATTACTTGTTACTGAGCAGGTAAAGCATGGTGGTCCGTTTAAAGTTTGCCTTATCACGCCTGACAAGCGACTTCCATTCAAGAAATTAACGCGACTGCACATAGATTAGTTAAATGGTCCAGGTCTGAAATGATCCCAGATTCAGCTCTGACTGATGTTTCTAGGGCAAGCATAGTATTGGTGTAATTTTTGTGGCGTATCAAGCAGTACCAACACCGCCAGTTTCTAGATCGAAATCCGCAGATGGCTTAGGGCACTATTTATTTTCTCGAAATTTTTGGTTTACAAGTTAGAGTAATGTAAAGAAAATCAAAAGCCTGATCCCGCTTTGCTTTAACGAATATCCTGTTAGAACTATCGGTCATGTCAGGTCTTATCTAATCATGCTGTGTACTCATAAGTGACATAATAAGCGCGTGTAAAGTGTCATTTTTATGATTCCATCCAGTGATTCTCGAATAGAGTTCCAGACTTGAAGAAGTAAAGATATTAAACGTGGAATATATATGTCTGTTTTTGAGTACGGGATTTTTTGCAGATTGTCGGTTATTCGCGATAGGTTCCAGGTCATGTAGGATGACACTCCTCCCGGAAAACATTAGACATCCGTTTCGTTCTTTTTGGATTAGTTGTTAGTGCGCCCTACTACCGTCACCATCGGCAATACATGTTACCTGTGGGTAAGAAACACACCTCGGCTAATGTGCCGCAATAGAAAAAGGATGCTATTAGACATTAGAGCCAGGAAATGCAAAAAGTATTGTAATACTAAATATGTGGGTTTGTGATCATTGTTTCAGGGAGTAAGTTACAGTGGAGGAGCAAGGTCGATGAAACTCACAACACAGCCGCCATTAGAATCGACACTTGGGCGTCTTAAACATAGTGTCCGAACAAACGTGTTCATCGTTCTTCGGTCTGAAGCCTCTCAGTCGAAAGACTCACACCGACGATAACTTAGAAAGGATTGATTTCATTCCTGTTGACCAAGTCATCGCTTGTTCTCCCCTCCTCTTCTTCCATGCCCACCCTGGTCGCACAAGCAAAGCGGGATGTGGAAGTCGGTGTGCATTTCCGTGCTACAACGGGGATCATACTTGGCTTTTAGGTCATGGTATGAAGATGATGAGCAAGCATAACTCAGTCCACTGGTATGAACCGCTGTATAGAAACCTGAGGCTTACTGAAGAATCCAAGAAACACACACTAGCTGCTTATTCAATAATTCGAAATATCATTCTAGTGCATTTCCGCATGCGTGACGGTCATTCTATACTGAAAGCTGCTACGATGTTCCCTCAGTAATATTGTCATCTTCAGTACTGGTTATCAGCATAATGGAACATTTTCTTGAAGCACGCTTAACCGTCGAATGACCATTCTGTTCAACATACGTGTGTGCCCAAACTAGCTCTGTCGGACAGTACTGTGGCCATACTGAAGTGCATTGACACTAGCCGAGTGTCAACATACAAAGATGAAGTATTCGTCGAAAACGTATGAGAAATTCAAAATTATCCATAATTTTCGTTTCATACCACTTCCGTGATATTCCATTCTAAACCAAATTGACAAAATTCCTTGTTTGTTTTTTCTTTCGTAACAACCGTTTCCGAACACCTGATATCATTCTCTAACTTAAGCGCTTCCGACTGCCGCTTACTTTACGGCTTTTCATTAAAGTCAAGCAGTTGCTACCATCAGAATGGCTCACAGTCTGTAACAACATTATATTCCTTCTAGATATCTTAGTTAATTTTGTATGTTTATCTCGCTCAACTGTGGCCACAGAGGTGAAGCGAAATGATTTGATCTTCGTAACATCAGTATTACACCGTTTCATTCAAAGCAGTGTAAGTAGTTCGAAGAGCTGATTCTCTAACATTACTCATACGATATTTTCCTTAGTGTGCACAAAGAACGTTGCATTCTCTTCGGTCTATTTGACTTTCGCGAAATGTGCTGTGCTTTGCAGAGAAGTCAGTAATTCGATGATAGGTATCATCACTACGTCGGCACCCAGCACCAACAGTTCCATGCCACGTGACCACCAGTGTTCCCGTGTGGACTGCGTATATCGCGCAATCGCCTACACCTATGTGGATTCGAAAAAATAACCTCAGAAGTACGATTTAAGCGAACCACGGTCGACGGAGAAGTTAGTAAATTTAACTGAAGAACCTTTCCTGTCGTTTCAGCCGCCATATGTACGCGTAAAGAAGTGGCTGTTGGCTTGCTACTAACTCGTTCGGATAGGCGCTGTCATCCCTGCTTACATGTGTCGAATTATAGAACCGCAACATACGGTGTGCAATTAATTTTTTTGGTAGTGCTATCTTTACTAATCAAAAATGCACCAACTGGGTAACCTGTCCTGTTGCAAATATCGATAGATTTCCGTCAACTCTCTTCACATATGGTGAAAGGAGAAAAACAGGTTCAATGTGGATCAGACATTACGTCCATTCAGATGGTTCAGGATTGGCGCCAAACTGAAGAACATGCTATACACGACCGCGTACTGTACGTATGGTAATAAGTCGTGCAAAGAAAACGGAAGTTTAACTTAGCCTGGGATGTGTGTAATCGAGAACAATTGGACCAGCCGATAGCCAAAAGATCAGAATGATCTGTTCCCTATATACATTTTTGTTACCTGTTAAAATAAGAAAGCTAATCAGTAAATTTACTTGTAATTATATACCACCATCGAGACAGCAAGAGGGTTTTGTTCAATATGCAAGCTTATACTGAAACTGAAACCATAAGCACCACTTTGAAAATCCTTTGAAATAAATTTATTTAAAATCTGGTTGAAGGTAATTCGCTATCATAAACATGGGAGAAAACGGGGGAGAAAACGAAATACGATTGCAATGAAAATAAAGTTTATTTGGGTTTTACAAATGCTACTTACTTTTTATTCGGTTTGGAGTTTTGGTGTTCCATTAAGGAAGTAATAAGAGGCGATGCAGCAGAACAACGGTGACACCTCTGATCTTCGTTGCAGGCCATAACATCTAGCATTTCTAACCACGGATAGTCAGAATCGTGCATTCCACATCTCGGAGTACAAGCCATTCCGATGGGTGTTAAGCATGAGGTAACTTTCCTCACGCTCTTCCTCCACCACATTAATTTTTACCGCGGCAATTATACCAGTCACTTCCTGCAGCGCTTTTGACGCTGAACGAGGGGAGGCGATAGGCTGGCATGCGCAATACATGCCTGAGCCAACGCACGCTGCGTCGGAGTATACCGCTTTGTAGGATGGTCTGTACGCTCCAAGCCCTTGCCATCGGACTTTGTGTTGCTTAAGTAATGTTACAACCACATATGAGCAATCATATGCAGACGATTGTTAAAATCTGGCAGTCTTTTCATGTTTTCCGACCAAATAGACCCGTTCACACAGCCATACAGCGGATCGTACAGACGGAGGCATAAGAAAACCTGCCCTTGAGCTTCAGACTGGTATCGTGAAGGTGCCAAAAATGTCTCCTTTTGTTGAACGCAAGACGATGCTCTGTTATCCGTTGCGGGATCGAGTCCATAACATCCTCGCCAAACATGATGCAGTTCTGCATATAATTGAACATAGGACTTGTGCTAGAACATCATCATCAATGTTGAAGGCGGGCACGGTTACATGTCAAACCAGGACTAGTGTTTTACATTTGGCTAGGGTGAAATGCAGGCCAAACTTTGAGATCATTATCGTGAAACAGTTGAAAGCGCTTGAACGGCTTGTGATTCTCCCCAAATTTAAGAAATATCATCTGTGTAGTACAAACCCGTGACCCTTTCATTAGGAAGCAGCTCAGTATAGAAGTTTTGGACACCTTGCAAACATTCATCGGACGATATCTTCGGTGGCCAATTTGCTGAGGGACGGTGAAATAGGGCAGAATTTCCGAACGCCGATGGTGACAGACCACGAACGAGTTAGCCCGCGTAAGCCCTAACATAGCACGACATATGGCCGCGAAGTTCCTTCAGGATTTCTATAAACTTATCGAACACACCTATACTTTAGTGGACAGTTGAACAACGCAGATCAATCTACGGAATAAAATGCTATTCGGGTGTTCAAGAATACTGCCACTGTTGACCGTCGATGGACGTAAGAGAGTACAAGAAGTTTGCGGAGTGTGATTAATTGGTCAATGTATCTACGACATGGACGCAAACTCTCTTGTTTCACCCAAGCCCCTCTATTCGCTGAAAGCCTGAGAAGTAGGAAGGACTTGAAGAGCTTGGATGGAACAGAAATCAAAGGCATTCTGCGATGACATAATTTTTCCGAGAGACTCTGCTTCGGGACAATGACCGAATGGTCCCATGAAATTGTAATCTGCTCATCCCTTTAAACCTTTGAGAACGTTGATGGGATTTCGCTCGCAAGTGCATTCCGTATTCTTTGATTAGAGCCGGGGGTAGGATACCTGGTCCAAGAGCCATTTGACGCTTCAAAGCTTGGACTGCGGTTGAGGTTTCTGTTTCAGTAAGGAAATTGTTGGGCACAGGTCAAATACTATTGAAGCGAAACGGGCTTGTCATATTGTGCCATATTGAATGGAAGGGCAAAACGCTCTTTCCAGCAACCCAAGCGTCTTACCGGACAACCGTCCTGATTCTTTGACCAGAGGGTTTAACTTAAAAGGCAGAAGCATGAGAACATTGTTTTTTTACATTCGTTTAGAGCCAGTGACTAAACACCCAGTTCATACGCCTTTCGAAGGTCGAAAAGCCATACCAGGGGCCAAAAACGCCCTAAGTCATAGGCAGGATTTTGTGCTAGAATTCCTTGCCGACGTGTAATGTCTCAGAACCACAAGGAACAGGGAAGTTATTTAGTGACCAGCCATATCCGCTACGTCGCAGTTTTGTTAAGCAGAAACCTGTGTCCTTTATGGGGAGAATGCTTGCCAACCGAAAACCCACCATGACTT